AAGAAATCAGGAGAGAAAACTGAAAGAAAAGGGTAAGTCAAGAACTATGGAGTTGTGGCTCTTCAGACAGGTTTCCAGAGGAGTCTCTGTTGAGAAGCATTAGTGCAGTGCAAGTATGCCAGGACACAGAGGAACTGGAAGGAAGCCACATCCAAGTCATGGAGAATATGCCTGTGTCTGTAATTGCTGTTCTCAGAGCTGCCCTTGCAAGGGTTCAAAGCTGGGGCTAATCCTACTTTGCATATTCTATTAGAAACAGGGACCATGGAACAAGCTCCACGGTGTCCAATTTTGCAAGGAGCCAGAAGATTTAGACTTGGAACTGAGAGAACAGGGGATCTGTAAGATATGCCAAAATGATTTTGAGAAAACAGGCAGCTGACTTGGAAGAAGCGAGGCTGGAAAATACATCTGGTGAAATCTACTTAGAAAAACAATAATATGAAAGTAATTTTTAATGTAATGAGAAAAGAAGACAAAAATTGATGCTAAACTCCCTGACCAGATACTGGACAAAGTATTGCAGTGACCATGCTGGATTTCTTTAGCAAATGCCTGTGTTTGATTGAATAAATGTAATGTCTTGAGAAACACAGAAGGATGTGTGAAAACAGAAGCTCATGTATCATCCATCCATGTCAATACCTTATAAATATGTGGCTCAGGTTCTCAAGAGTGTTACAGAATGTTTTCCATACAGCAGTTGTAGAAAGAAGTACCAACAATTTGGCAGGACCAGAGATGATCTACTTCTGTACTTCTGTGTAGCAGAGGCAGAAGTAAATAAAATAAAAAAATAACCAGTGTAGGCTCACACAGCCAGTTTTCCATTGGCATGTGTTTTGAGTACAGCAGGGCACACTATCAAATCAGCATTTTTATAAATACTTCATAAATTTTATAAATACTTGAATGCTGCCTAAACCAGTGGTCAGTTCAGTCAATGGAATCCATTAGAATAGTTGGCAAAACTCCCTTTTACTTCCTAGAAGGCAATGGGAGGTGTCTATTTAAGAGTGAAGTTATCATCATTTTACTCTTCCTGAATAGAAAAATACCAAAATTAAATATCTCAGCCTTCACACAGATGAAATTCTCCCAGAACTCCCCATCCTGTTAATTTAGTTGAGGTCTGCAGGCTGAGCTGCCTGTACCTCCAAAAGCACAACTGTACTAACAGCTGCACCTACTGAGGATAGCAATGACAGCAAGATGGGAGGAAAATAAAGAGAAAGAAAGAATTCAGATGCGAAGGGAAAAGGGCAGGAGAGACAATTAATTTTGTGCATTTCATTTATGTGTAAATCAACTCCAGCTATTTTTCCCTTTGTTTTTGTGATCCTGAGATGCTGCACACCCGAATCAATTTTGAAGGTCAGAAATAGGGAAATAAAGAGCTGCATAATCACTGTTTTGACAAGTTTCCTTTTAACTCCAGACTCTTGTTTTCAGCTGCTCACGACACAAAGCCTTCCTTGGTGCTCAAAACCCACTTGACTGATCTGAAAAGCAGTTCTATGTTCCCCACCTCATCCAGCAAGACTGTTAAAATATTTAATACTGTATTTGTTACACAGACAAAAAAGACCAGTCAGTAGTTACTAAGGAGTGAACATTCTCTTTGGAGTTATTGAACTCGCCAATTTTTGATGGCAAGAACAAAGTATGAAGCAAATCCAAAAGTATGTCTGGGCCAACTTTAGAGATCTTGTTGACCTATGCATAGGACATAAAGAATGTTTTTCAAGTAGCTTTGCTGACTCCAACTGCTGCAACGTACTTCCCATATAAGAACAGTGTTTAGATTTTTAAGTCATGTGAGTCAGTGCAGCAGAACTCTCCATTCTCCAAAAACATGGGTGTCATTGCTTGCTTGTGCTCTTTCCTCAGGGCACACCCAGCCCCAGCATCTCTGAGAGCCTGGAACACCCAAAGGCCTGTTAACAAGCTGAGCCTTTTGCCAAACCAACAAATCAGGGAACGATGCAATGTGTTCTCTGTACCTCACAGATGCACATCTGGGAATGACTTCACCATCTCCACTTCAAAAAGCTCCCTCGGTACTTTTTCCAAGAAACAATGGCAGTCTGCATGTACCAGACAGCTGAATTACAGGAAGTTATCAAAAAATCAACGCCACCTCTAAAAATCCCTAAAATTTTGCCATCATTTCCAATTTTGTTCCGTGTTCTGCTCGATATCTGCCACAGGCCATGATGCAAACAGGGGCATTTCAGGGACATAAGGACTCCCTGCCTACACTCACCAGAAAAGAAAGATGTGTGGGGTTACATTACAGATGTGTGGGTATCCAATGCAAAAGGAGAAAAAAACCCAACTCAAGTCCTGGTCTTCCCTTCCAAGTAGAACCCCAACAGCAAAATGAAGCAGTTGGATGCCCAGTAGTAAGCAGGAAGAACAACATTTTGATGCCCAGATGTGTCAATCAGGAACAGAGGTTTTCAGTTACAGATTCAGTAGAGAGAGTTAAAAACATCAAAACCATCAAAAAAGGGTTTTTTTTTTTACTCCTTTTCGGTGCAGATAGGGTTGCCAAAATCCAACCCTTCCCTGCTTCTGCAAATAGCACAGGAATACTTCCACAAGAAAGGGGGGCAAATGCTTCAGCCACAACCTCCTTTCCAAAACTAATTGTCCTTTTTACTGAAGATTTGAAGGGAAGTCATTGGTGCTATACTATTACCTTCAGGACTTTCCTTATTATTTGACCAGTGTTCTACTCCTAAAGGAGGTGGGGGCAGGAATCACTGCAGGCAGTGTTTGGATCCACTGTTCATCTCAAGACCACCCTGCTCCCACTGCATTGCCACAAAGGGAAGAAATTCCTCTATTTCCTCTACAGGAAGAAATCCTAACAAGGATTTAAGAGTCAGATCACACAGCTTTGCCCCCCTCATGCCCAGTACAGTGTGGTTTCAAAATAAGGGATCGTGTAAGAGATGAAGCTGTACTGCTATATATTTTGAGAGTTGGGTAGGATTCTTTATCCCTGCAGTTCTTTCCATCAGGTCCATATCCCCACAGTCAGCTCTTAGAAACATGCACCTTATTTTGCATGTCTGTAGTGGTTTATCCTCTGTAAGGATGACAGGGCAATAAACCATTGCAAACCACTCAGCAGCTTACACAGCATATGGAGCACACCTTGACATTTAATGATATAAAACCAGCTTTAATCTCAGAGGAAAACTGGACTGGTCAGTGTATTGGACCTGATAAAGACAGACCAGCCAGCTCAACTAATGCCTTCTGCTTCTCTTTTGTATTATCAATGCATATTCCTCTAGGAAACGAGCCTGATCAAAAACAGAGGCTCCTCTGTACCTCTGAGAGTCCCCAGTGCTTCAGCCCTTTGGACAGTCACAGTGCAAAAGCAGCAGCTGCCTGTTGATACCAACACTCATGCTGGAAAAACAGGTGATAATGAATTCCTGAAGCATATGCAAGTATGAAGCAAGTACTCCATGAATTGTCAGCAGCTGTTTCAAGAACCCTGCCCTGCTCACCACAGGTATTTATTTAAAGTACGGTACCCGCCCTGATATGGAACACATGCACAGACATATATATATATATATATATGTATATGCATGCACTGCCCATGGTCCCTTATGGCTCCTGAGCCAGGCCATGCCAGCAATTTGTTTGGGAATTTCAAAGCTACCCACTGTGAACCTTCCCATCCTATAAAGGGAAACAAACAGAAAGGAAAAGAGCTAGAGAGGAATAATGGGGTCTAATTTCCTTGTCCTTTTATAGACAGATCCTTAAAGAGAAAGCCCAGGTTTCCAACACTTCCAATATTCTTTTAATGTACATTCTGCTCAAACAATTAGATCCTAGTCAGCCTCCATCCCTGACTCGCATACAGCAGGAAGAATTCCCCCACATTCTCACAACAACAGAAATGCTTCAGGTATTTTCACTTCCAATATGGTTTTATCATCTTGACCTTGAAGGAATGTGGCACTGAAATATTTTCCCTCCTTATTCAGTTTTTGGTTTTACTTAGAAAGATTCCGTCTCTGCAGACCATTCATTGATATTGTCTGATATAGTTCAGCTTTTCACTGTACCCTTCTCTCTGCTGTTATCCCAGCAGTTACAGCTCTTGGTGCCTCCTCCAGTATGGGAAGGAGAGGGACAGTGTGCAAGGAAGTTGTGAGGTTACAGAGGAAGCAGTGACATGACTACATCAAGGCAATAGATGGAAGGAAAGCACCTATTCTAAGATCATAATTATTTTGAATTAACTGCACATCAAACTAAGAATTCAGCAAAGTAGAAGCTCGTTAAAAAAAAAAAAAAAGGAATCTTAACTTTGTTAAAGCAGTTACTGCTAGGTTTGGAAAATAAATAAACATGAAATGAAAAACAACTCTGAAGCTCCACAAGTCCCAGCTCAGAAGAACTCACATCTGAAACAACTCCATGCCACTAGAAACACTGAATAACACAGTGATCAAAGGCACTGTCAGTGCAATTATATTGTACGGGAGGATAAGAGGGAGGCCCAGACAACTAACAGAGTGAGTAATTGGGTTACTCCGTAGCCTTGTTTTTAAATGCTGCACTCCATGTGAATGCTGCAGGTCTCATTTAACTGGGTCACCAAAACTTTGGCAAAACTCTACTAACTTCAGGCTAGGAAGTGCTATTTGTATGCCTAACTTTAGGCTACGAGGTGTGAACACTGAAGTGTAAGCAAATCCACACAGGTAAGGGCAGGAATCTGGACCAGCAGATGGAACAGGTAAGAACTGTGCTCCTCAGCTTTTAGGGCCTCTCTGTCCTTACAAATTAATTTTTTCCACATAGTCTACATTTAGAGGCAACATATATTTAAGATACATTTAAGAACACAGTAAGTGCTGTGCCCTCCCAAACCGCCCAGACAACGGGTATCTGCCCTGAAAATTGTACCTCTGTCCACCCCGGGGCCCTGACAACCATTTCACGTAGTAATTCAAAGTAAATACCTTTCAGGAGGTAATCCTGCCACAGCCATGTTTTGAAGTTCACTGAGGTCAAGGCTCTTAGGCTCAGTTAATGCAGGCGGTGATAGCTTTCCTTTGGCATCCTGAAGTGAGCTTTCACGTTCTGAATTCATCTTGCTCGGCCGATTTTCAGCAACAGTGAGATCTGCACGTGCAGAAGGCTCACTCTGCTCTACCACAGGGAGGGTTGGAGGGTGATTTTTGAACAGGTCTGCCTCCTGGTCTCCAGTGCTTGTGTTTATGGCTATGTTGTCTTCCCCAGTGACTAACATCCTTGCAGTACCTGTTTCAGGGACGTCTCCAGTTTTTTCGTTACCTGCCTTTGCCGTGCTTATCACTGTGTCACTGTTCTCTTTAGCATCTCCCTCAGTCATACTGCTAGATTCTACTTTAGAGTCAGTTTGCACGCAATCATCCTGGCTTACTTCATTTTTTAAGTAATCTATTAACCCATGCACAGTCACGTTCTTTTCCTGCTGTGCATCTTGTGAATTTTCAGATGTTTCCAAGCATTTCCTATTTACTGCATCGTCCTGTACCACCTGCATGTCATCCTGAGACTTAATGTCACCCATGAAGTTGCCGTGAACGTGCGTCTCCCGATTTCCCTCGGGTGACACATTAAAACTGTCTGACAATTTTCCGTGGCTGTAAGATCCTCCCGGGACAAGGGTTGAAGCGGCCATGTCAGAGATGCTCTTGGCAGCGTCTGGATCACCGTGCTCACTTCCCTCCTGTTCATTTGGCTTGGGATCCTGGCACCTTTCAGAAGCGAGGCTCACATCCTCCTCAGATGAAACTGGTTCTGCACCACGCCCTGTAATTAAGTTATTTCCCTCTGTGGCAGCAGCATCTTCTCTGTCCCTCTGCCGCGCGTCGCCCGCAGGGATAACAGCTCCGGCGGGTCCTTGCTGACTGTCGGAATACGCAGGGAAGTTCTCAGCTGCTGCCCCATCAAATGAAGCTGGTCCTTGCTTCTTTATCTCTAAGCTTATTAGCGATTCAGGATCAACGCCACCAGCGCACACGCCTTCCTCTCTTTCCATCCCACTGCTCTCAGTGGGCTTGTCCGGCTTTTGCAGATTTCCCGGAGCACGTTCAGCAGGTGTAGCTCCATCCAAGCCAGGGACCACTTCTAAACAGCTACTGGGCTGCCTGTTTTCCTCAGTGTCCTGGAGACTTGCTGGTGGCAGCTCTGCCACGGTGTTTTCTTGCTGCAGAGATTTGCCCTCGGCAGCTCTGCAGGAAGTCTCAGCAGCTAAAGATAACTCTTGCCCCTCTGCTTCTGAGGTGCCCTCGGGAGCTCCTTTGCCCGCCCTGTTTGGTTCTGAAAAGTTCTCAGCACCACAGAGTTCTGCTGTATCCTTGGCCACTGGACTCTGCTTGGAGCCTGCATGGTTTTCAGGCAAAAGCTGGGGTAATTCAGCACTCAGTGTGCTGTGGACAGTTTTTTTAAATATCTGGCTGATGTGCTCCCTAAAGTCTGGGATGCTGGAGCCAATATCCAGAGAGCTGCAAGTCAGAGCCTCATGCTCCTTTCCAGAGTTCTCTGCAGACTGCTTGGAAATACTGATGTCTGGCCTGGTTATGTTATTATTCTCTTTTGAAAGCTCTTCCACTTTTTCTGTGTTCCCAGGTTTCTTTAAGATCTCACCGTGCTTGTCATCTACGCAGATATTGGTTGCAATTTCCTCATTACAGCCTTCTTGTGATGATGAAAGGCTCAGTAGCTTCCCTTCTGGAGTAGGAAGAGCTAACAGAGACTCTGCTGAACTGTCACTTTGCTGCTCTTTGAAGTTTAGCTCACTTTTTGTTTTTTTGGATTTAATTGCAGAGATCTCTTTCTTCAGCTTCTCAGAGTTGAACTGTGATAAGTTTCCAGTTCTCTGCCCTACATTTAAAGTCTCTGGCAGGGAGAAACTTCTGTCTCCATCACCCTGAAAACTTTGGTCTGGACAGTCTTTTTCACCCACACACATACCTGCCACAGGACCCACATGTGCTGACACCTGAGGACCTGCAGGAACCTGCAAATTAGGATTACCTTCTAAGGTGTTTTGACATGCTACAACTTCCAGCTCATTATTTAGTGATTCCTCCCCAGTACCCCTGTCTGTGGTATTTCCAGGTTGCTGACTGGGATGGCTGAATACAGAGGTCTGGGTAGAGAGGGCTGTAAAATCTGCTTGACAATAACCAGGCTGCTCTGTTGGCTTTTGAATGCAGCTGGATTTATACAATTTATCAGTGGGAATTACTTCCCCGTGTGCTCGTGATGGTGAAGGAGATCCTTGTGCCCCTGGACTTTTGTCAGGCTTCATATTGCTTGTTTCTGGCACAGCAGCACTGTCCTCACAACTTATCTCCGCATTTCCATCTTTCTGGATGATTTCCCCATCAGCGGTCAGAATATTTTTCGAGCTTTTTGCCATTAATGGCATTTTCCTTTGAGTTTCTGGATGAGATATTTGAGGATCATTTTTCTCAGAATTATCAGAAGTATGTGCTATTTCTGTATCACTTGGCAAAGCCTGTGATATGTTAGTGGCACTTGCCGAATACTGTGTCCCTGGAAGAGTGTTTATAGCAGCAGCACAGCTTTCAGCAGTATTATCCCCTATCCTGCACACGCTGCCTGGCTGTTCATTCTTGTCAGATTCTTTACAAAATGCATTGCTCTGACATGCTGCTTCATGCTGTCTGGCCGAGATCAAAGAATTATTACCCTGCTCGGGCTTGTTGGAGTTTTGCTTACTGCAGCAGTTTTCTTCTGCCTGGAGATCGGTTTTGTTTTGCTCGTTGCAATCTTGCAAATCAAGCGTGGCCACACCAGAAAAGTTTTGCTGGTGCTCACCCCTGCACACATCCTCAGCTCTGCTGTTATCCTGCTCCTGTTCTTTTGCTCTGTCTGAGTTGCACTGGGGCAGTGCTGGACCCAGCACAGGAGATCCTTTATTAAGGTTGTTTGAAACGTTCAGAGGCATTTGTGGTGTGTTGCTGTCATTATTTGCCTCCAACGGCCGTTGGGGTTGTAGGGCCCTTTCTTTGTGTTCCTGATCCTCTGCCCCTGTGACAGCTGTCAGACTGCTCTGGTGCTCCTGTTGTTCAAGTTGTGTATTTGAACTCCAGCCAGTGACACCAGCCACAGACACCGACCGCCCCGTTTGCTCTGCCTGAGGAGGAGCAGTTGGAACACCTGCATTTTCCTGCAGCTCCCCGATCCTGCGCTCCGGGGCCTCTGAAGAGCCGCACGTGTCACTCTCAGAGGAGCAGTTGTTTGCAGTGATGTGGCTGCCACCCCCTTCCTCCACGTGCACTTGCTGAGCAGTAAGTCCTGAAGTACCAACTGCAGCTTCAGGGGTTTCTGAGCCAGCCCTCTGCATATTTCTGTGACTTTCTGCACCCACTTGCTCCAGCTGAGCTTGCACTGGCACACCCGGTTTGCGTTCGCTTCCCAGTGCCAGCTCTTTGTCCTCCATGAAACTTTGCACTGCAGTTTGGTGCTTCTCCTCCTGTTGTTTTCCATCCCCAGCACTGCTTGGTGCAGCTGCGGGTTCCTGCTCTGGATCTCTGTGAGGCACTTCAGTGGTGTGACCATTCTGTCCTTTGGTTTCCAGAGCCCATGGGGCCTCCTCGGTTTGCACAGCCATGAGATCCACAGCCCCTGCCAACTCGTCCAAGCCCCGCGGATCGAGTTTTAATTTGGGCATTTTTGCACTTTCTCCTGACTTGCTAGAGCTCTCAGGCTTTTCTTGACTCTCAGCTTTGCATTCACATTCCAATACAGCTTCTCTAGCCTTTTCCCAGGATTCGTCCTGCTTACTCTGCTCAATATTATTGTTCCCAGGGTAGAGAAGCAGTGAACTGTGTGCACCATCTAAACAAACCTTTTCAGTCCTGTTACAGCCTGGCTGGCCTGAAGTTTTGCCTTCTGGCTCAGTGTTAAAGCAACCAGAACTCCGTGGGCATTCCTCCCTTGCAAACTGTGGTGAAGCCAGGAGCTTGTTCTCCAGGTCATCTGGGGCAGCTGTTTTCTCTTTACTCATTTGTTGTTCAGGTTTACAACCAAGAGACTGTGGACTGCCTTCAGGTGTTTTCAAGTTACTGTCTAAATTCAGAGGCTTTCCCTCACCTTCTTCCCCTTGGTCACCTGTTGAAGGGTTTTCACAAAGGCTGAATTCTTCAGGATTGTGTTCCAAGTGGGTATTTACTGTGTCCTGGTAATGGTTGCTAACAGAGCTCAATAGTTGTCTTCCTGCCTCACTTGAGGCCTCAAGTAATTCACTGGTTTCTGACATTTGTGTATCCTCTGTTCTGATTACATTTTTTTCTCCTGTTACATCCGACTCAACTTCTTTTTGATACAGCTCTGTGGATCTGCTCAAAGAAGTACTTAATGCATATTCTTCCAGTAACAACCTCTTATCTACTAGTGAGTTTTCCTTGGTGGGACTGATAATGCTTTCTATTTCAGAAAGTGTGGTGCTTTCTCTAGGCACATCATCAGCTTTTATAATTTCATTGCTACTGGCTTCATCTTTTGGGCTTTCAGTTGTGACAGCTGATTTTTCTTCTTCCTCTTGCTTAAATGATAAAGGCTCACTGAAATGCTCAGCACTAACAAGCTCATCCTCCTTTTGAAGCTCTCTTTGAAAAATGGATTTGTTTTTTTCAGAAGCTGTTTTCACTGTTTCGCTCCTCAGTGGATCTTGAGAGTCATTCCCAGGCACATATTCCCTCGAAGGCTCTTCAGGCTTTGGTACCAGGAAGAGATTTGGAGGGTTAGAAGGCAACTCTGACATTAAAGTACAAGCTTCTGATTGCTTCCTTTTGCTTACAGATAGAGCTGGATTCGCCTCATTCCCTATAGCTGTTGTTCCAGCCCCCATCTGTAGATTACAGACTTCACTGATCTCAGTGAAGCCCTGAGCATTCACAATTGCTCCAAATTTTTCACTGTCTGAGCCTCCTGTTGCTGGATAATTTAGGATTAAGGTTTCCTTTTTCATTAGCAGACCCTCTCCACCATCTGTGTCCTGTCTACCTTGCTGCATTACTGCCTGCAGCTGACCTACTTCCAAAACTCCTCGCTCCTGCTCGGCCTCCTGAGCAGTAAAATAATCTCCTGCTGCTTTACCCCGGGGAAACGTGCTGACATGTGGCTCCCTCATGCCACCCAGCTGTTCACTCTGATGGGGAGATCCTAATTCACTCAAACTCATTTGTGCAACTCCTTGCATTTCTGTGATTGCAGCAGCAGGGCTGGGCTCCAGGCTTGGCATTCTGGGCTCATTCTTGCCGGTTTTGGTGTAGGAGGCAGCAATATTATCACATTTTGGCCCTCTGTCCACAGACTTGGCATTTGCTAATCCCTCTTCTTTGTCACTCACTGGAGCTGGTGATGGCAGTGCTGTGTTGTAATCTGATGTGGGGAACTTGTCAGTGCTGCTTGTGAGATCTGCTGTGACGTGTTCTTTGGCCCAGTCTGCAGGAGGCACTAAGACAGGCAGGCTTGTGTCTCTTGCTTCAATAGAGTGCTTTAAGAAATTAGAGTCTGTTTGTCCTCCTTGCTCTTGCAAGATAGCATTCTGTCCTGTCACCTCTGAAGACACCACGCTTGAGTTTGGGTTGGACAGCTCTTCAGCACTGTAGCTACTGATGCCTTCATTACCGATGCTGCCAACAATGGAAACGTTTATTTGTTTCATGTCAATAAAGAAGCAAATGAAGCAAAGAATAAAACCAGCTTGTGCCACTGATGTTTCAAAGCCATGCACTACATGCACTGTGAAGCTGATAATCTGCTTTCAGGAGTTAAACCATCAGACACAGTGATTTAAGTGCTCATTACTCTGGAAAGTATTTCCCCAGTCTTACCTGAGAGCCACCATGCATTTTAACCATTCAAAAATCTTAGCTGAGTGTGGGGAGAGGGGACACACATCCAACACACTAAGGGAGCAACATGGGAAAAACAAAAAACAGGGATAACCCCCCAGTATCTCAAAGAAAGGCTTTTTGTTTCTGCTTCTAGGAGCCTGCTCTGCACAGAGCTAAAGGCTGAGCAATCCACAGTTACTGCTGTTATCTGGCTGTGCTCGAGTGTGTGGCAGAAGATTAAGAAGGGCCCATCTGTTGAATGTTTTCTCCAGCTGATCAGCACGGGTGATTCTCACCAAAGAGGTCAAAGGTCTGCCAAATGCAGGATGCTGCCTTAGGATGATACACACCCTCTGAGGTCATTTAATTGCAGGGTTTGATTTCAGTGCATGTAAGCTGCGACCCTTGGTGTGATCTCTCTCTCTCTCCCCACCCATTACAGATAATATAGAAAAAATGAAATCAGAGGTGACTAACTGCGAGAATAAGTTATTTTAAACAGTTTTCACGTGCACTGTGTGGACCTCAGGTTTTCACACTGAGGTTTGCTGGTGATGAAACAGTTTAACCTTGTTCTCTCCCTCACCTTCCATGCCTGGGCATATTTTCACCACCTTAGGGAATATGAAGTGTAATATCAATTCAAAAGTGAGTGTGGAATTGTACCTAGGAGCAAGGAGCAACGTTTACTTAACATGAAATAATAAATCCCATCCAAAGCAAGATACACAGATAACACACTGCCAAAGGCTGGGCAGTCAATGTGATGACAGTGAGCTCTAGTTCCAGAGCTGCACAGGGAGATTGGAGCTATAAAAGATGCTTAAAACACCTTCTGTAAAGCCAACTGTAGATTGGATTTTAACTAATCTCCAGAAATCTGAGAAGCCTCTCTCCCCTTCTCTGCCCAGGTTTTACAGATGAAATACCTGATGGAGAAGTGAGTCAGTGACCAGCTCTCCTGTCCCTGCAGTTTAGGTCTGTGTTTGTACAACCAAGGCCTCTTGGGCTGTGCTACCCTGCACAAAATGCACTTCCAGGTGGGGCTAAACCCACTCCTTATGCTGAATTCTGCCCAAAGGAAAGAGCTGCACCTAAAGCCAAACACGAGTCCGTCTTAGGTCCTAAAATCCTTCTTCAGAGTCATTGCAGTGGAAAATTAACTAGTCTTTAAAGAGCCATTGAAATTTGCCTATATTAAGGCTAAGCCTCAGATCTGAGGTAAAATATCTATAGCATACAATTCATACATAGCTTCAACAAGTTTCAGAGATGCTTGGCATCAGTGTGAACATTTAATTTATAACACCAATATGTTTTATTTAAACTTTCAGAAAATGGTTTTGCCCAGAGGAATTTTTCTTCCCCTTAGCACACTGAAAACACCTGTCCATATAAAACTTACTGACACTGGGAATAACAGAGATGGCAGTGCAAGATGTGGTATCTGCTGGATCACTGACAACGTGGGGCATGACAGGGCATGAACAAACAGCAGGGAGATGCCAGGAGGCTTTCCCTAAGGAAGGAATGCACTTCATTATTGACATTAATTCTGCACTAAGGGAAGCTTAATTAGAAAAGAGAGAGAGAAACCACGACACTGAGTTGGGGAAGGGGTGGAAAAGTGGGAGTCAATTGCCATTCCAGCTTTCTGCTCATGTTGCAGGTTTATCTTCTTACTGATTAAATTGCTCATTAGCAGTTTTGTGCCCAGGGTTCTTCAACCTGGAAGCATGCTCCTGTCAGAGATATGGTGATCAGGAGGGTAACAAAAACAGGTGGAGGTTGAGGGGGGAAGCCCTCTAACCTCTGTGAAACTGAGCTTTGGAAAAAGTAGAAAACATCATCTACAGTTACAATGTCTCCTTATCATTTATCTTTAATCTCTGATTCTTTACTTATCTTTCATCCCATCTGTCAACAGCATTGGAAAATGCTGGTAATGTTCACCATACAGACCCTACATCATCATATATTTGCATTTTACAGATTTCATCTGACTGAAATTTCTCTAAGACTTTTGCACACAACACCTTTGTTACATTAGACTTCTGTTTGCAGCTATTAAATACGAAACAGTTCCAAACATGTCTGAAGTGGTTAAATTGTCTTGACTACAATTTCCAAGTCCATGAACTGCCACGCTGGTGGGCACCTTTGTCAGGAGCCAGAGTCGTAAACCTGTGACTAAGCAGGTTCAAGGGAGATTCAGTATTGTGAATCAATCAAAACAATTTTTCTGGCATTCAATAATGCTGAAAGCTTGTTCATTTTACTCAAGAGCAGATGAAGGAATTGGGACAAGTTTGTAATTAATGTATGCTGAACAGAATCAAAATGACAGTGCTGGCACATGCTGTGACAGCAAGTTAAAGTACCACTTTTAGAGTGGAGCAGTACAGATTCATCATCTGTGCTACTGCAGCTTCCTTCAATGTTTTATGCAGGATAAAACACAGAATTGGAAATCTGAGTTTTTCAATCATAATAGGATATGCCCAGACCGACCTGTTTGGATTTCTCTATTTATGTTTCTATTTCTGATGTAACTAACAAGGAAAACCACACAGAGAACGGATCCTACGTCTTCCTTTTCATTTTTTGCAATCTTGCTTTTCTGTCTGCAAGACATGCTGGGGTTAGACAAACATCTGTTGGGAATGACTTAAGCACAGCTGATCCTGCTTTAGGGCAGAAGGATGGACTAGATGACCTCTTAAGGTCACACCTAGTCCCATTATCTTCCACTCTTTTTAAAGGGAATAGCACTACAGGGAAATTACACCACATGCTGAAGATAATTTCCCCCCCTCCCCCCCCAGTAAAACCCAATCTACATTAAATCAATAATTACCTGCAGGGAACGTGTATTTTCAGGCAGCCCATTTAATACAATCAACATAAAGCTATGACCCTAAATGTTTGGATTTTTAAACACAGGAAAATAAAATGTGTTTGCTTTTGTGGGGACTCGATCTCTTCTGTTTGTAATCTGACCTAGCTCAATATAAGGGAAAAATTCATTCAAATGACAAAGCATGGAAGAACATTTGAGTTCCTCACAGTTCATGTAGAGTTTAGGGCAAAAGGAGTAATTTTGCTAGAAGTAATTGCTGCATGTGATTGATGATATGGTAAAAAAAAAGAAAATGCAGTCATGCAAAGATGTAGGTGTATCAGTAACTTGAAATATCCCACTGCACTCAAGAGTTACCAAAGGGAACTTTTCCCTTATCTTGGAAGTTAAGCAATTTGCAAACAGTTAAGAATTTGCAAATCCAAGGCCCTAACATACTGACCATATGAATGCTATACTTCCAGTTACAACATCTAATAACAACAAATAAAATCTTTGCATGCCTAAAATATTTTGCATAAATAATTACTGAGGAATTGCTTCTTTGGAAGCACATTGAAAATTTAGAGATTAATTTTTAATGCCTGTAGTTAACCTCTATCCACCCTCAGAAGATATTGTGGCAAGTCTGAATTATCCTGGAACAATTTAGGAGTCCTGCTTGGTTACTGAGATGTTTATTAGGAGAGCACTGCCTGGTCTGTGTTGAGGGTATGAAGCTAAAAAGGATGCTAAGAAATAAATGACTCATGCTGCATATCCCATAAATGCTTCCAGAGCCATACCCAATCCACCAGCCATTAACACTTGAAGTCACAGCTTCCATTACTCTGCTTTCTCAGCCACAGCAAAGGCAAAGGGCCAGAAGATAAAAGCAGCAGCAGCAAAACAAAAGCTCTCTGTCATTTAGCATTTACTGTCTGAGGGATAGTGTGTGTTAGAGATGCCCAAATAGGTTAAGCGTACTTCATAAACAACAAGAAGTGAAGATACCACAAGAGAAAATTGTGGATAATTTAAAATTTCCATTTCTTATTCCTCTGCTGTCCTTCTAAAACATGCAGTAGTTGTTGAAAGACAGGCAGCCTTCCCAACCTAAGTCATGCTTGTGAGGGAAAAACACCGAGTGCTGAAGCCTCTGAATCCCAGAGGTCACATACGGTTGCCATCCACACTGATGTAACTCAGAGCCTGAGTGATTATATTCCCAGGAGCATGAGCCTGAAATCTGAGGATGAATTTAGAAAGCACTTGAGGGAACAAATGCACAGCCAGCTCCTCAGCCACGGCACACATAAAGCTGCCTCTCAAATGTTTCTGTTCTCTCTCCCCTGACAACATGAGAGATCAGCATCTACTGTTTGAGTTTACACATTTGGACACAGAGTACTGGAGGACTTCAGTTAACTTAGGGAATCCTGCATTTTAATCAGTCCCTAAGAGGTACTGAAAGTTAATTGGGAAGATGGAATTAATTTCCACATTCCCTTTCAAAAATAAAAAAAAACAAACCCCCCAAAAAAAGAGTCACAGTTTTAGAGGCAGAGCAAGTCACTATTTGAACTTCTCAGTGTAAACAAACACATGAGAAATCCATCATCGCTAAAGGGCTGCTAACAGCAGCCAGCCTCCCCCACCCTCCCTGTGCATCTAAGCTTTCAGGAAAAAGTGAAGCAGGAATACTGATCCATATGATCCTCCTGGGAACCCTCCTCCCCTTCTCCCCCACCCCCAATCACTTTTCACCTCCTCGTTCCACACACGGAATAAAACGACTGCAATATTTTAAGTATGACCGAAGCAAATTGCTCCAACATTAAAGAAGTGAGCTGTACTACTGCTGCAGCAAGCAAGAGCTTCAGTTCCAGTTCCAGGACCGGCTCCTGGTCTCTATCTGAGGTATCCAGAGGGCCAGCAGGAAGCATGGCACCGAAGGGACTGTCCCACAGGATGTGTGGCAGCTCCAGCTCGTCACTCCACATGGCTCAGGGTGTCCCACAGGATCTGTGTGCAGCACTCCGGGTGGGACAGCGGCCAAGGTCATCCACAAAGACTGCTCATTCCCCTGAGCTACTCCTGGGTATGCATCTTTTAAACTGCTGCATCTGCTTCTTCCTAAATCTGCTGGGGGTTGAGTTGTCCAGCTCAGGATTCCCCAGGTGCGTGTTGTGCACCAGGGGAAAGGCATGTTACACCTCACACAGACACCAGTGCAAAGCCTGAGGCTTGCTAACTATCCCAGCTCTTCAGCCTTTTTATTCCACATGGAAAGTTCACAGATTAATTACTGATGGTCTTACTTTTCAACATACAGGACTAGTGAGAAACAGGTAAAAAAAAAAACAATTAGACTATTCTAAAGTCAGAGTCACAGACATTTTGAATGACAAAAGGCAAGAGTTTAAAAGTAACTGAAACAACTTCAGAGAATTTATGGAGGGCAGAAGAAAGCCACCCAGAAGACTGGAAAAAAGGAAACGTGGTAATTTTCCACCCAGGGATGCTCCATCCAAAGACGGAAGGTCACATGCTCTGAAGACTCCGAGAGTTCACTTCAAGGGTGGAAAAGATGCGTTCAAAGCAACACAGGAGAGCGAGTTAAAAATAAACAGCCTGGAATGTGGGACTTCAAAGATTTTCCGTTTATTGTCTTCATTTCTATTTTGGCAGGATATAACTTACGAGTCGCCCAAAGCAGGCATGTGCCAGCAGTTGCAGGAGTGAGGCTAAATAACAAGTAACTGCCTGAGGTCCCGCCCATCTAATAAATTTCCCGAAACAAGAATCTTGTGAATCCCTCCGAGCTGACTCATCCGTGCAACATTCATCTCGCACGAGTCATGATTTTGCCTGCTGCAGCCTAAAGCTGTCTCAGCCAGCTGGAATATAAGTCCAAAGTGTTCTAGGCACTCACATTTTGAAAAGCAACCCCTGAAGAACTGCTGTTGTGCCATTTTTGAGCAATACATTTTTTTAAAATGCTAATTAGTTACGGAACAGTATAAAGTTACTATGCTAATGTTACCAAAAAAAAAAAAAAAAGAAGGCAAGACTGCACTTGCTGCAGCCAAACCACAAATACTCCAACCCCAAGATAAGAGTCTCCAGTGTATCAGGTGGATGCTGGTACAAATGCTCTCAGCTGGAGGGTGTGTGGGTGGTGCAGTTCTAGGTACACAGTCTCCTACCTGTCATTGTGCAGTTCCACAAACAACTCCAATTTGCAGGAATGTTAGTCATGATAGGCCTACTGTAAAAGTCAGCAGTTGGTAATACTCATAATTCCCTCTTATTTTCCCTCTCCCAATATATAACCTGCATACTGATAAGAGCAGCAGAAAATGGCTATTTTGCAGTCACAAATCAGAATGCACCATGTTGTAAGCAGCTTACAAGTAATTTATGTTTTCTTCAGTGGGACAGTGTGGACATTACAGACACAAACAATATAGTGATTATGCACAATACCATGGAGAGAAACTACGAGCTAGAGGATACATGTAGTATTTGTTAATTGACATAACAAACAAACAAAATATACCTCTAAAAAGTCTCACCCTGTCCAATTTTACATCATCGCCCCAAAACTGATTTTTTTTCACTAGTGAGAATGATATCTGTGGCTTCCCTCCTTTGACATGAAAATGGACAGACACTCTCAAAGACCTGGGAATCTCATCCAAGAAAAAGCTGTTCCATGTATAGAGCTGGTAGACAGCAGAGTGAGGCAGCTCTAGGAAAGAAGCACAACCTCTCATCCCTTTAAACTTCATGCCTAAATACCTTTATCACTGTAAATTGACTTTAGCAGTCTTAGTCTTGGTCAGGCTCTATTATTTTCAGTAGATAATTAAAACGTGTTAGTGGCAGTCAGAAGAAATAGAATTAATAGTAAAGAGTAAATAGTAAATAACAACCTACTGAAGTGTAAGAGCCCCACAGCATAGCCAAACTGTCCCTTCCAGAAAATAAGCTGCTCTTTCTTTGAAAGTCTTTTTAGATTACTCATGTGTCTGATTTTCCCTGAACTGTGGCCACTGATGATCTTATTTAATACCTGAATTTGGATTTAAACTGCCACAAACTGTTGGATAATATCAATAATTAAAAAATATAATAGAACAGACTAGAGTAGACTAGACTAGGCTTGAATACTGCAAGGGACTTACCATGATCCAACTGCCTGACCACTTCAGGGCTGCCCAAAAGTTAAAGCAGGTTATTAAAGTTGTTGTCCAAATGCCCTTTAAACACTGGCAGGTTTGGGGTGTTAACCACCTCTCTAGGAAGCCTGTTCCAGTGTTTGACCACCCTCTCCATAAAGAAATGCTTAATCTTCATAATTTCTGACAAAAAAGGGGAGAAGAAGAGTTTATTGCCTGGGACAGCATTAACAGTATCTGAAACATTTGTACTGGACTCCTGTTTGTTCTTGGTTTTCATTTCTCAAGTTGACATCTTGCAAAGAAATGGCAATCAGAAATGGTAGCCAGGGTTGGTGGAAACACACTCTGCTTTAAAGGATGTGGCAAATCTTTCTGTAGTGAATTCTCCAATCTTAAAGAAAATTAGTGAGAACACTTCAAAAGGTGCCCACAGCCTAAAAATCCTACACATTTCTCAGCAAGTTACTGCTACTCCTAAATTGTATTTAGCATTCTGTGCAATGGCCTTGTCCCTTCCAACCCAGGACATTGTATGGTTCTCTGATTCCCTTCTATTCCAGGTAACATTGATGATTTGCAAAGTACTCGGCTCTGTTTTGAAATCATTCTGGTATTACATAATTTCTTCATTGCAGCTGCTGAAAACAAAAGTAGCATGGGAAGTATTCAAGTAAAAAGTATTAATGCTTCAGGCAAAATGTTCCTGTTGGGATATTAAATAAAACCCAGATTGTGTTATCTTCTGTCATCCTTAATAGCACTGAAGAATATCTTAACTCTGCAAGTGGTCCTATTTATTTCATAAGGTGAATTTTAAGACACTTAGAAGAGTGCAATGCTAATAAATATTAGCTAGGCTGGTACTTTTTAGTAGGATTTTTATACAGGGCTGAGCACAGCATTTTGCAATTGTTAACAATTACATCTTATTTTACAGTCATATACAACCACAAAAGACTCTCCAATGTTTCTCTGTCTCAGATGAGAGTTTATTAGTACAAGCAAAAAGCATAGAAAGTTTAAGTCAAGGGTTACTACAACAGATGGAGCCTTGTTTATAGTTATGCAGTAAAGCAAGAAAATCAGTTTGGTAAATAGTAGTCTGGTGGTGTCAGGTTATTTTTGAGGGCATCATCATCATCATCACAATCCATCAGGATGACAGACTTTGAAAATCAGTTACACAGGAACAGAAACTAAAAAATGCACAGCCCTCAGCTACCAACAGCATCAGGGCTTCAATTCTACTCACAGGGGGAAGAAACTTCATTTCTTACCTTATAGGTCCTGGCATTGATGAGGTTTTGCTCTCAGCTGGTGGCACAGCAGCAGGAGGAGGAGGATCTGAGATGTCCTGACCTCCAGACCTTTCTGTGCTGTTGTCCTGAGGGCTCCTATTTGTACTGTGCCCATTACCAGGAGGTTGGCCTAATTCTGAATCTTGTGGAGCGTTCTAGAATGAAAAAAAAAAAAAGAACAATTTAAGTGGCTGCTGCTAGTTTGGAGAATACACAAGCTGAAGGAGTTTTGTTCTGCCCACTGATAGACAACTTCTGCAGCAGATTTCACTACTTTGATGGAACTTGCAGGTTGTAAAGCCAAGCTATTCTTTTATTAATGACAGAAAAACAGAAGGAAGTGGTTGAGCCAGAAATAAACAGTAGGAAGAGAGGAGAGAGAGAAGAATGCAACAATTGTTCTAAAGCAACCAGGGCCTTTACTGACCCAAGGAGGGTATCATCTTCTCCTTTTCCAAGCCTGGCAAATGCTTCCTTGCTAAGCAAGTTTAAAATGAGAAAGGATGGAAATAGGCTGTACACTTGTACACTCATAATATTAGCAGTATATCTGGAGTCAAGTTAGAGATAAAGCCAACATCAGTCAAGACCCAGCGCTTGAATCCAAGTCCAGATTCCTTCCCTCCCACTTTGACAAAGCTCAGAATGCCTCTGAACTGAACCAGAGGGCTTGATTCTTCCCCACACTGCCTCTCTATGATAACAGCTACAGGAAATGCTGCACTTTCTGCAGTCATAGCTACAGAAATGCAATTGCACAGCTGAGGCAATGCTGCATCACCTCTTTTCAAAGGTAAATATTGACCCAGGATCTTCATCCATGGAGACATGCCTTTACATGAATGGGGTTTTCCTTTGTTTTGTTTCCATTGCAAACTATTGGTTTTGCTCCAGGGAGGAAGAGAGAACTGTGCAAGTGCCAGAGCTGTGACCCAGGCTGAGCCTGCAAATCCCTGGGGTTCTACCACGCTCTGTGGGGCTGCTTACAGCAGGTAGTGGCATCTTCCTACTGATATTTTTTTTTCTTTGGCAGAAGTATCTTTAGAAGGTGAAGAAAAGCTGGTAAGGGCTGCTCTGAAACAGTAGCTGAGGATGTTGTTCAAGTACAGCAAAAGAACTGGAGTAGTGGAGATAAGCAAGTGCGGCGCAAAAATGAAGTTAGAACGAAGAAGGTCTTTTTCAAATCCTCTGGCATGTCAAGTAGTAGTTAAAGAGAAGGAAAACCGTTTCATCCGATCACCCTTAACATACAATCACTGTTGTTTTAATTTTTAACTGTTACTGCAGGAAGCCTGAGGCACACAATGTAAAGACATATGAGTGCATTCACTGAAGGGAGGAGAACCACTCCAGAGCAACATCAGAGTTTAAAAGCACAACTCCACACTCATCTTTTGGGTTTTCTTACTCTCAGTTTGAGTGTTTATTTTGCTCTAGCAGCAGTCAATAAACTGCAGAGAGCTGTTGTTGACAAAATCACGGTGTGCTCCCACACTGCCAAAGGCTTCCCGTGCCCGGAGCCGGGAATGAGACACCCAGTGGGCAAGCAAAGCCCTTGCAATGAGCAATCGAAAAGGTCAGGGCATATTGAAGATATAAAAAGACTTCCTTTAGACTTAAGACAAATTTGATTAACTCTCATATCCTCTGCCTGTCCCTGGAGGAAGCCCTTCACTACGGCTTTGTTTGCAGGAGCCTCCTTTATCACACCCCTTTCCGCTGGGAGAGACCAAGGGCTCTTGGTTTCGTGATTATTAAGCACTTACCCAGCATGTGCTGACATCTGGCATTTAGAATATTTATCTAAGTATATATATGTTGGCCCCAAACCCAGAGTATATGGCAAAAAAATACTAGAACATCGAGATTTTCACGAGGAAATTTCTTTCTTACAGCCAAAAAAAAAAAAAAAATAGAAAAAACCAGACCTGAGTTAGCTTACAGGGCTCTGGTTTGCTTTTTGTGCTGCGTTTTGGGCAGCCGTGCTTTTGTTTGCACGAGAAAATCTGAATGGAGAGTTTATTTCAGCATGAGTATGTGTCTGCAGAGAGAAAGAACTGGGAAAAAAATGTGTTATTAAATTAATTATCAGGAAAAAAAACCCTAACCAGTGGTTGGTAAACTCCCAACAAGCCAGGAGAGGCAACCACAGTGACACACTCTTCCTTAGTCCACATGTCATGTCTTACCATGCGAGGTACAGGTGGGTCAGACTGGAAGATGTGCCACAAACAAATGCCTCATGGTAGCAGCCAAAGGAAGAACCATTCTCAGGACACTTGCAGGCAGAAATGACCTCCTTTTCTTCCCCAGCAGGGCAGGGAGGATAAGGAAAATGGCACAAAGAACCCCAAGAAATTAGGCCAATTTACAAATTTGTCCAGGTGCCTCCAGTAGTTGGCAAGAGCAGCGAGAACTAATTATTTATTTTTTTTCTCCTTTCTACTACCACCATCTCCAATTTTCTTCAGCTGCTTTGTGTGCCAGGCAGGAGGAACCACCTCACAGCTCTCTTCAGAAGATGAAGAGCTGCATGTTTTGTCTCCTTCTCCCAAAGCCTCTGTCATGTCCCACAGCAGAAAGGTGCACACTGAATAATTGAGTCATTAATTTACTGCACTTACCCTGCAGTCTCAGTAGCCACACATGGCCTCTAATTAGTCTCTCCTTCACAAGATCAGCCACTTAACTCAGAAGGCTCCTTTAGGTTACAATTCTCTGTTCTACTGACATGCAGTTATCCCTCTTCTGGAGCCATGGCATGATGGGGATGCCTCCTGCACATAAATCTCTAAAGTAAAACCCCTGTGCTGAGAACCAATACAGGTTGGTTTGTAGCAACAAACCTTTGGATTGTCATCCAGAGCCACAAATCCCACGAGCCACGTGATAACCAACAGTTAAACACAATATGGGCTCAGTTGTGGTATCAGAAAGAAACAATACTGATCAGCCTGTCATGTCATAAACCAATTAGCTCCTTGTTTCTAAGGCTCAAATAACACAGACAGAGGAGACCTAACTTAGAGGTTACACCTGCCAGGTACTTGCAAGCAGCAGTAGGGCTATTTTAGGACAGTTTGAAACTGTAACATGGAATCAGGCTAGTTTGTCATTGCCTCCCTGAGTCTGATGCTTCACAGAACACTTTGGGGCCAGAATAATTTTGGTGGAAGTTTGCTGGATTTTACTATTACTGTTTATCTCCAGAATTCACAAGTGAACTACATAATAGAGACATTTATTATAGCTCGACACCCCCTCTCACCAAAATTAGGATGTTTCCATATTAGACACAGAGAAGGGCCCAGGTTCCAGTGATTGTATCAGCTGTTACACCAAAATCTGGGATTAAAATCCAAACAAAAACACTGGGAGGAGCAGATTGAGAAGGCAAGGAGAATGATCACAACAGACCAGGTCAGGTATGTGCACATGTTTGAAGACTACGTTTAACATTTTCCATGGGTCGTTTGGGGCCAGGGGACCGATGAGGTTTTTTTGGTGGGTTGATTAGTTTTGACTTTTTTTTTTTTGTTTGTTTTAAATAGTTTTGTGCTTTCAGGGAACTAATGTTTAAGAAGTTATAGTGCATCTCTCAGCTATCCCTAAGTGACTGTCGTTGGCCACAGGAAAATCTGACTCTCCAGTTCATTACCAAATTTAACATGTATTAAAACAATCTTAGAAACACAGGTCCTGTTGGAGCAGAGAGCAGTTTGAAATGTAGACACACTTATTTCTTTCTTTCCAGGATGTTTGAGTGATCAAAAAGCAAAGGTATGCTATTACTTGGTAAGGCAAAGGCACACATACATGTTCAAAAGAAGCTCAGAGGATTATTTTAGCAATAATCTAAAATTAATCTTAATGTAGATATTTAAATGTAAAATCAACTACTAATATTCCAAGATACAGGAAAACTTTATATATGAGTCTTTTCCATTTAATGTATTAATTTAATGTTCACAAAAGAACATGTTCTGTGAATCTAAGCCAGATGGAAGAAAAACACAATTCAATTTTTCGATTAAGTTTTTCAAATTTAAGCTAGTCATGCAAATCAGGTGCTGAACTAGCTTTGCAAAGCATGCTGTTTTATTTTTAATTAACATCTGTGAAAACAATTAGAAAGGCTATGTTTTGTTCACAAGTATCATCAGAAAGCTGCTGTTAAATAAATTACTTTTGAGGTTTCAGTACATGCAGCCTCTGAAGTGATTGACTACACAAGCTTGTAGCTAAATTTATTCTATTTTTGTTTCAAGTGTTGCATACTCCTGTTTGAAAAGGATTTTCATTATAAAAAGTTAGTCAACTGAATGACTTAAATAATTGTAATAAAAATCAGAACACAGGGGTTCTCAGCAGTTTTCTCTTTAAATCTGGAATAATTAAAAAAACCCCACCAACAACAAACAAAGCAGGTTTGTCACAGAGAGTATACAAACAACAGAAGGAAAACTAAACAGCCTGTACTTTTCCCCCTTTAAGCCAGCACACCATTTAAATGGATAAAACTGATTCTCCTGAAATATGCAAGGTAATTTGCTTTAAACCTTTCCAGAAGCATCGGAGTCTGCGAGGACACAAAGTAAATCTACAGGATCGCTTTATTTTCCCAGTGACTTTGAACAGGAGGCCGAAGGAACAGAACTCCATTAACAGCGTAGCCAAAAGGATTATGTGCACTGAAGTTGTCATACCAGAAAGAAATTCCCTTTAATGCCGCATGGGAGCCTGTTCCCAGCCCGGCTCCCCAAAGCCCGGCTCTCCCTGCTCAAAGCCACTCCAGCAGCATCAGGCACGGCCACAGCCTGGAGTCACAGCCATCCCGGGAACCTCGTGCTTCCCAGCCAGGCTCCCGGGCACAGAGCACGGCACGGGGCTGGTTTGAACACCTGGCATTCCCACTCAACCCCCCCAGACAGGTGAACTTCCTTTGACTCCCTTTCCTCTCAGTAAAAGTTGCTTCCTTTTCCATCTGCCCTCTGTGACATTCCTCCATTAAGCACATGGCCTTTTATAGCAGCTGCTGGAACGTGCCAGAGCTCTGAGGAGCTGGAAGTAATCTTTGAGGAATTACATTTCCATTCCCACCAGCTCCCCTTGGTTAGTGGAGGGGAAGCTGGAGCAAGCCTTTACAAGGCTCAAT